AGATACGTGAAACGTTGGACGACTATGTCAGACATTTCCCTTTATTGACCAGATGCAGTAATGTGATTTTTTTAATTTCGATTTTGTTTCTTTTTACTAATTAATTATTTGAGTTGAAATGGCAACATGCAAATGGTAAAACATGTGCAACCTTTTGTTAAAATGATCCTGGTAAATGGAATTTAGAAAGGGAATCTGAGGTTATGGCATATGATAAACAAGATCACCAAGAAAAGGCGGCGCTCAATGAACGCAGCTCCCACCCGGCCCAGCAACAAGAGCCAGCGGCAAGGAGCCCAGGAGGACCCCAAACAAAAACAGGAAAGGGCACAAGGCAGAGCACGGGCAGGCAAACCACCACCTAAGAATAAATAATTAGAAACTGACAAGGAACTAAAAGAAAACAAATAAATGATTGAACACTAGGCCCATAAAGTCAAAAGGCACAGGGGAAGGGGATACGAGACCTGGGGAGGGGGGGGGGATAAATAAGAAAAATTAAAACTAGGGACAAAGGGGAAGATAAGCCTTCATATCATAGACAAACCGTCATAAGACAAATTTAAAAAGCAGGCAACATATCCTAAGGGTAATTATACTGGAACCATCCACTGGAACAAATCTGCGGATGTTTCCAAATTTCACCATTTTCTGCTTAAGCCGGTGCTACGGGGCGTGGACGGTAACTTGCACTTTCCAGTACCGTCCATGAACAGGCTCAATCAAACCGAGCCTGCAATATTTTACACTTTTGCCGTGTTGGGCTTTCTTTAAGGATACTGTTTTTCCTTATGCCCTACCCTGTTTTTGTTTGGGGTCCTCCTGGGCCCCTTGCCACTGGGTCGGGTGGGGGGCTGCGTTCATTGAACGCCGCCTTTCCTTGATGATCTTGTTTATCATATTTTTTTTCTCTATTTCATTGTCACATAAGTGTTATTTGTGCCATGTGGCGGCTGTAAAGTCTCCCCGTACATTTGATGAATGATGTTATATTTTCGATCATTGAATAGATAAATACAGAATCCCTAAAGAAAGCCCAACACGGCAAAATTGAAAATGTTGCAGGCTCGGTTTGATTGAGCCTGTTCATGGACGGTACTGTCAAGTGCAAACTACCGTCCACGCCCCCTAGCACCGGCTTAAGCAGAATTCAACATTGTAAAATTTAGAATTTTGAAACATCCGCAGAAGTGTTCATATGGCGGTTACCATGGAACCTTCAATGTGACACGTTAGTGCCATTCCATGAAAAGCGGCATATGATCCCCAAATAAAAAAATGCATGTAGCCCGAAACGAGGAAACAATGGGCGGAACTGAATAAAATGGAATTTTGAAAGGGGATCTGAGGTTATGAAGCCTGCATATCACTGTATAGATATGACGTCAAAAGATAAATTTAAAAAGCAGGCCACATATCCTAAGGGTGATTCAACAGTATTCAAGTTAGGAATACTGGAACCACCCAACAAGAAAGATGCCGAATAGAAAGAACAAAAATACCACAAGCACAACAATTATGTCGTGCTGAACGATCTTTAAGGATCGGAAATATAAGTTGTATTTAACAGTACCGTTCATAAACAGGCTTAATCAAACCGAGCCTGCAACATTTTCAATTTAACCGTGTTGGGCTTTCTAGGATTCTTATTTTCTCTATTATTTCACATAAAGCTGTTCCCCTATCTATATCTGACTCTTGTCCATTAGGTTCATTTGTCTCTTCCATTACCAAATCTCTGTTTTTAGAATCAATAACTATGTGTTCAATCTCAACAATGTTACTTTCATTTTCTACCATTTGTGTAGTCTCAACATGCATCATCTCCTTTTGTAGAGTAAATGTGCTCTGTTCCGCTAACTGTATTTAATTTTTAAAAACACTTGTTATTAGTGCTAGACACCTTTCTTGGGTTTTCAATTTGCGCTTTATGTTCTTTCCTTATAAAAGAATATGAATCTGATGAATCTGAATAGCTACTGTTTGGCATTTGCATCTCATCTTGTGATAATTTATACTCGCTACCAGAAGAATTGTACTCTGAATCAAAACTGCAAGTATCAATTTTAAGAGTTTTGAAAGTGTTGCTGGTATATCATCTTCAGACAAGTCAGCAGGAGAATTGATAAAGCTATATTTGTGTTATCACTATAATCGTCAGTGCTGAAATAAGCTGAAACAAACCGTTCTTCATCTTCTATCTTATTTATTTTCTCATGCTTTTCTTCTTCAATAAACCGCCTCCGTGGTCGAGGAGTTAGAGTCGATGACTTCTAATCCAGTTACCTCTCTGGCGTGGGTTCGATTCCCGGGAAATGCTTTGGTAGTTTATTTAGCACGAGAAAGGGAATTCTAGTACTGGTGTAACTCTCCAACTGTCCAGGAACGATGGTACGGAAACTACCCGCCTATATGGCTGAAATACTGTTGGGAAAAGGCGTAAAATGAAACAAACAACCAAACAAAATCTCCTTAAATAGGAAAACAGGAAAACTCTCCATTTGACATGTCACAAAATCCTTCAAAATCATCTGATTCAATTGTATCGAAATTATTTACAATTTCCATATTTGAAGCCTAAAATGCCTTAACTTCTATTTTATTATCCCCCAAAATAGATAAATACAGAATCCCTAAAGAAAGCCCAACACGGCAAAATTGAAAATGTTGCAGGCTCGGTTTGATTGAGCCTGTTCATGGACGGTACTGGAAAGTGCAAGTTACCGTCCACGCCCCCTAGCACCGGCTTAAGCAGAATTCAACATTTAAACATGAAATAGTAAAATTTTGAATTTAGAAACATCCGCAGATGTGTTCATACGGCGGTTATCATGGAACCTTCAATGTGGCACTTCCGTGCCATTCCATGAAAAGCAGCGTATGGTCCCCAAGTAATAAAAATCGTGTGCCCTAAACGAGAAAACAATGGGCGGAACTAAATAAAATGGAATTTTGAAAGGGGATCAGAGGTTATGAAGCCTGCGTATCACAGATAAGACGTCAAAAGACAAATTTAAAAAGCAGGCAACATATCCTAAGGGTGATTCAACATTATTCAAGTAGGAATAAAGCCTAATGCAAAATTTTCTAAAAATAAGATCCAGTTTGCTATGCCAATGTAGGATGTTAGATCTGATTTTCTATCAGCATTTACCATACCCTCTCTGTTCCTGGAATGTGTATCAAGTACATAATATCATTCATTCGGATAATTGCTGTGGTGTCAAGAACGCATTTTTCAATCTCTCTAACTCTTTGATCCAAACTTACATAAGGCCCGTACATTTAATCAATGATGTTATATTTTCGATCCTTGAAGATCGTTCAGCACGACATTATTGTTGTGCTTGTGGTATTTTTAGTTTCAAATTTTTGGCACTTTCTAGTTGGGTGGTTCCAATATACTTACACTAACAATGTTATTTTCTACACAATGATACCTTCACTTCTAGGTTAATTTAGTGTTAGAGTTATTATATTTTCACTTTATGGTAGTTCAAAAATTTCTACACACTAACATTTTCCCGATTATTTGAACAAAAAAAAAATAGGTGTCATATGAATTTTGGCATAACCCATTCACAATGTTTATGTCAATGATGACAAATAGAATAAATTCGTGATTGTTAATCAGCTATAACGAGTTATAACTTCATGGTATAAATTATTTTATTAATTCTATGTTGCCAATGTAAAATGTGACATAATAAAAAAAGAAAGAAAGAACTTCAATAACACGTCAATAACATAATGCCATTCATCTGCTCATGCACAAAACAATTTATGCAGTACAGTTAACCATTTCATGTGTCCGTTTTTATCGTAGTCACGTTTCCAATGGGTATTGACTATTTGTTAGTAGGCACTTGGAACTAAGCATTCCAGAATCCTGAACGGTATAGATGTTTTGATTTTCGTAAAAATCATGATAATAATAATAATACGATGCCCTGTGACATTAAATATAGCTATTTTTATTGTACTTGCAGGATTTTTGGACCGACTCACTGCCTTCATCAATCCTTCTGCCATGCTGAATGACCGTCAATCTCTAGGAATGCAGCATTATTATAAATGATAAATCCCAAGTCTATTTTGTATCTCAATCATAGACTTGACCATTCTTATATATATCTGAAACTGACAGGCGCGCTCAAAGACAGTTTTCAGTTTATGTAAAGTTTATTTGACGTAGAAAAGTTCGAATTCAATAGAAGCTCTGTTATGTTTAATAATTGATAGTATCATTTGCTAGTTTACTGAATTATGTATCTATTTCATTTCATTTATTGAGCTATGCAAATTATTTATCCTCTCTATAATTATTAGTTGATATCAAGGTTTTCAAGATTTTATCATTCACTCAATACACAATACATGTAAATATGATATCAGAGTGCATATCAAAATTATTTTTTCCTGAAATACGACACCTAAATCGCCGAGTGGTCTTCTGATCACTTGTCAATCAATGTCACCGTTGCAATTTCGAATCATACCGGGGACCACAATGGAAATAAGAAATAAGAATCTTTCTTTTTTGTGCTATCCTTGGTGCTGGTATACATGTCATGGCTTATTTATACTCATGCATGTTTTAAATTCATATGTTGTTTTAAATGTCCATATATATATACATTGTATTCTTTACCGAAATTAATCTATCTATACATAACGTAGTATTAACTTTAAAAAAATGCACCATTTATGTAAATTATGTACAAACTGTCTCATTCAACTGTCTCTTATCAATAATTTCAACTAGCCGATGTAAAATGTAAAACAATTTAAATAGGTAAAGTAGAATGTGAATCAACGTATAGGTAAATATACATGTATGTACATAATGATATGACATGTTCAAAGTGTATATGGAATGTTTTACACATGTATAGCACTAGATATCTAACCTAGTTACCACCTTGCAGACGAAATATTCGTTTGGTTATTACCCGGAGTTCAACTAAAAGTTTATAAAGTAATTCAAGTTATTATACATGCACAAGTTATATTCAGATTTATTCAGTCATATTTTGTCTACGATTTTCTCATATTACTGAACAGGGAACAAAAAATGCCGTTTCATACATTGTCCCCTTTTCCGGGAACTATTACATGAACCACAGGAGTTTTATAATTACATTAATTCACTAGTTATTTATATAACTTTTTATTTCAATGATTCTCTTATCATGCTGTAGACATATATATGATAATTGTGTATGTAACAAAATAATATACCAGATTCTCTGTGAATAATTTTCATTCATATAGCTACAGCGTGATAAACTTTTACTTTTTTAAAATAAGTCATGCAGACATTGATTAATACACATGGTGACATAACAAAATGCTTCTTGAAAGAACTTGTAAACGAGGCAAAATCAAACACCATAAACATACAGAATACTGATTTTTCAATTTCGAATCTTTCAAAACAAAAGTTCTGATAACGTAAAGCGAATTAATTAGACCTATATGTCTTTTTCGTAGTCTGTGTGCACTTCGTAGTAGAAATTAGTGATGTGTATATCTCTAGAGCTGTGTTTAGCATATACTTTCCCGTCAGTCATGTCTTTATAACTGTCAAGCATTGGTAAATCTACTAAACTAGGTCTATAATTAACTAAAAAATAAGCTTGAGCATGGATATCTTCCTCTGAATTTGAATCGTCGTTTTGCTTTGTCAAGATGACATCTTTTCGGACATACAAATTCGGATGATTTTCAAGTTGATCAAGTCGTTTTAATTGGGCATCATCAACTTCATAAAGTTCTCCTTGAACATTCTGAAAAAAAAAAGACGGATAAAACAAAACACCTGACAAAGTTTACATTAGGTGAACATAACATCTCTGAAATCTGGGACTATATATAACACTAGATTTTTTAAAAACGGCCCATTAATGCAGAAATAAACACATTAAAGATACGCACCCGATCTAGATGGATTAAATTAAAATTTAAATTGTAATGTAGATCTATACAATTTATACAAACATTGATCTAGAATCTGCTTACACTATAAATTATAAAAAGAAAAAAAAACGTCAGCTTATTCTTTCCAACAAATCTACCTGTTCAATATATTTTTAAAGCAGCGACTTTTACAAAACACAATTTAAAAACTAGATGTATGTACTTACATGCCCTGTTCCTGGTTTGTACAGTAACAATGGAATGTTATATCTCGATGCTACAACCAGCGGGTATTTTTCTTTGGTGTAAGCGGTACCAAGTCGTCTGCACACACCGGATGTTTCATCTTTCATCAGATTATAGTTTGGTTCACCGGTTTTTAATGTCCCATACACGAATATCAAAAACATGTTGAACTGTTTCACGGGTTAAAGGTTGAATCCATTCATATTCAAATATAAAACCGGTGTACACACATAAATCGCCTCGGTCCGTTTTACTATGTAAACAAACCCAGTCACTCGTACCAGTATTAGCCACTGCAAACAAGATAATTTGGCTTTAAACAAATACACAACACTATGATTTCAGAAAATAGATAATCTTATTAAGAGGAAAACTAGCTGGTTTTGAAAAAGAAAGATAATAATGTGTGACGATGTATGCAATAACCGCAAGATTTCTTTCCCTTTCATCTTTAAAAGGCTATACATGTAGGTCAAGCAGCACGCATCCAACAGAATACATGTAGTTCTTATTTTTCCTGAAAATTTTGAAAATGTAATTGAAAGTTTAAACCAATAAGTAATCAAAGTGAAGCATTTTACACATTATCAATGGCACATACAACCAACGATCATTACAAAAAAAGTTTAAAATATGGAAATATGGCCCTACTGCGTTAAGAATGAAACATGTGACATGTTTCATAGCAGAAAACTTGTAATGTTACAGTTTGGGAACACCTGAACATGTACAGTAAACACGTTTGGTGTTTCAAACTGGAACTTGCAACATGTTTCAGAACCAACGTGTGCTGTTTTTCAAAGCGTTCCTGATAAACATGTCACATATTTCAATTTCAAATGCATTACGTGTTTACTGTATATGTTCAGGTAAGATCAAAACAACTAAGGAAATACATGTACAGCATATTGTAACTACAAAAAATGCTAATGAAGTATTTTTGGAATTTATTTATTATAACATTATACAGTTTATTTCATTTTTAATTTAACATAATTCAAGAATACAACTTTGCTAAACACAAGCATGAAATGAGCTGTTAGAGCGACAACATGATCATGCCTGCACTATTCTCAATGCATTTACTCCGAAATGAGGCATATTTCAATCACATGCATTACCTTGAATGGGTATTGCAGTATTGGTAAATAATATTTTCGTTTCTAACACATGTACAAAGTTTCGGATAAAATTCTATGACTGGAGATACAACTTTCACACACACAAAAAAACATATATATGCAGAATTTTCTAAAAGAAACATCATTTAGTCAAAATGCAGAACAGAGTTATTGGTCTTTTTATGTGAACTTATATTTACATACAAAAAATGTGTAAAGTTCCAAATAAATATCAGAAGTGGTTGTCTTTCTTTGTCTAAAAAAACTTTGTGTCATGCAACACTAATGCTAGGATCAGCTGCTAAGCTATTGCCTTACCATTTTTTTAAATAATCAAGCTAAAAATCATGACATCATCAAACATCTGTTGCAAGAAGTATGAAATTATTAATTTGTACTAAAAATAGCCAGATTTCTATTGGTTAAAATCATTCGCTTTATATAAAAGCATTAAGTACAGTCTGTGATAAACATAAAATAAATAAATATAATAAAAAAGTACGTACTTAGTAACTTTTGATTTACTTGCAAACCAAAAAAACTACAGTTAATGAAACAATTTATCTTTGTAACAAAACATAGGATAAAACAATTATGGATTTACTAGTCATTAAATATGATGAGATGTTCACCCCTCAATAATGCCTTCAGCTGGTAAATATCACATCTAATTTATGAAATCAGTTCTTAAAAAATACTTATGATGATTGTGAATAGTTACATATTAAGGCATCATCAACGACTCTCAAAAAAAGAGAATAAAAATTCTCAAGTCAACAGGAAAACTTATTGATCATAGAGCATTGTACAAATTTGGATGCATACAATTTTTATACGAATATTCAAATATTGGATAACATTTGAATGCTCTATAGAAATATTCGAATACCAAAATCAGTATGTGTTGCCATTCCTACAATAAACTATGAAAGTACTTGAAATTGCACACAAATTTCCAACACTGCTATAATATTAACCAAAGTGCTATAATATTAACCCAAGTCCAAAAAGAGCTGTATGTAAGACAGCGTACTTGACTTATCTCAGTGCTGAATAGTAAAACATACTTCTGAGTAAGTGTAAACTGATAATTATCCAAATGAAAGTAAAGTTCAACTTTTCCTTTTATGAAAGCTGGATCACTTAAGTCACATTGGCTTCTTTTCTTTCCTCTCCATCTCCGTGTTCACTGTCTTTAAATATTGAACAAATCCATAGCTCTTATGCCCATCAAACTGCTGCTGAAGTTCAGTTTGCTGAAGGAACCCACGTACCTGTGTATACATACATATTTCATTCATAGTAGCATATGAGAATAAGAAGTTAAGCAGTTGCAGAAATCCCTATTCATCAAACATTGTAATGATTCAAATTTTAGGGAAAAAGGTTTTGAAATTGTGATTTAGAACACAAAATCACATAAAACTGGAAAACACGCGGTAGCATTCGTTTTCTGAAAGGACAATGTTAGTGTGGGTATTTATTTTTTTAGATAGATCAATTCGATTCTTTCCTTTAAATAAAGTAACTCGCAAAAGAGATCTTGGTGTACTGAAACTGACATCAACAAAAACAAGCATAAAAGTCTAATAGACGAATCACATACACATGGACAAGTCAATGCAATTTTATGAAGGAAGTTTGAAGCACTCTTCACCAGTGGTGTGAACAGTGCAAAATGTCATTTTATAATGTGATGCCAGTGACTCCATTTTTCAATGAGCATGTGCATCAACCAAAATTTTGTGACTTATTATTACAATATTACATAATTGATCAATAGAATTTAGCATTAAAAACAGAAGTGAGTTATAATAATTAAAATGTGTTGAAAATTTGTTTTAACCAACCTGTGAATATGCCTTTGGATAATCTAGGTCTGCAAGGTAAACCAAACCAATCAACACAGCTATGACCTCTTTTGAATCGGCTGTCTCTAGAAGAATGTGTGTACCATCACAAACAATAGCCATGTTCACAATTCGTTCATCTTTCTCAATTGCAACCAACTTTGGTGCCGACTCTGGTGCAGAAGAAAGAAGTCTCCCAAAATTCCCATCATCTTCAAGCTGAAACAAATATTGATAGTTTTTAAACATCAGTTTTTAAAAAAAAAAACTGTTAGCATTTGTATAAACCTTAGATATCATTCAATGTTAAAAGCATCTTTTAAGCGTTATCATCAAGTGACAACTACCATGGAAATTATTTATTCTTTGTTAGAATAGTTTACCTACATAAATCTGTTTTGAAATAAAACTCGCATTAATTATGTATCAAACAAGTGTGCATGCCAAATATGACATGTTGATAATTATAGTAATTATAAGATGTTAAGGTATACTCCCTACAAAGTTTTGATGTAAATATACATGTACACACAGATGTACAGACATGTCAATCACTGAATCACAGCTGGTCACATAAAAAAGAAGTTTTAGGACATTAAAATATTTGAATATCTAACGCCCTTACCTTACTTATTTGCATCAAAGGCTTAGTCTTTGTCTGTAAAGTCTTCAGCACTGCCACTTTAGAGTTATCCTGAAAAGCAAAATTATGAACAGACTAACAGAAAGGTGCAAAACTTCACTTGTCAGTGCTCTACAGAATTAAACTATGTAGTGTTTTAATAAAATGGTGGCTTTTGTTGCATTTTAAAAGTTATTTTAGATTTAACTATTAGGAAAGATTATTTGATTAAGCTTTCTAAGTATGAACAAAATAATTATCAATTAGGGAATCAATATAATTTTAGTGTCCAGCTTTATTTGTCATCCAATGAAAACGCTGTATTTCTTCAAAATTCTGTGCGTTAATTTTCATAGAAGAAAAAAAGTCGATACTATATTGAAATCCGTTCATAGTCACCTTCTATTTTTCATAGTGCTTCATAGTACCGCGTAGTGACGTAATCAAGGGCCAAATAAAGTTTGACACTAAATATGTTAGTGTTCATCCTTAGCTGTTCTACAGAAATTAGAAACATTCTCCTGTCGCTATCGCTCCCGTCGAAGTTTCTAATTTCTGTAGAACAGCACGGATGAACACTAACATATACTTGGAATCATAATTTTGTGCTGGTCTTGACTCTTGGTGACCAAGGCATAGAATTAAATGTTGTTTGATTCCCATTATATGTCACAATGTGTTAAACATCTTAAAATAAACAAGTTCCTTCATGAGATCTACATGTATAAATATGTTATTATGTAGTTAGAAAACGTCTGACATTATGCACAGCATAATCTGCTGTTTAGAATATCTAAAATATCACCGATATAATATTCTCTTGCATGAATGGTACAGAGCATGTCTATATTTCTTAATTAATTAAGCCCGTAACTGCCTAAACATTTTGATTTTAGAGCAATAATCCAATATGTTTAGATCCACTTTCTCCAACTAAATGAAGTGACGTCATAATTTATATTGGAAATGACATCATCAATGTTTACGTCATACTATGATACATGTAATCATAACAAAACAGGCTATTATCTTTATTTTGCCGGATTATTTTGCTCGACAAGCCTCGCCCTTTCTAGCCCATATCTGCCTCGCCTGATAAAATGATATCAAAAGACAGTAGCATGTTATTCTGAATATGTTCCGTGTGGCAGCTGTAAAAAGTCTCCCCGTACATTTAATCAATGATGTTATATTTTCGATCCTTGAAGATCGTTCAGCACGACATTATTGTTGTGCTTGTGGTATTTTTAGTTTCAACTTTTCGGCATTTTCTAGTTGGGTGGTTCCAATATTCCTACTTGAATAATGTTGAATCACCCTAAGGATATGTTGCCTGCTTTTTAAATTTGTCTTTTGACGTCTTATCTGTGATACGCAGGCTTCATAACCTCTGATCCCCTATCAAAATTCCATTTTATTTAGTTCCGCCCATTGTTTTCTCGTTTAGGACACACGCTTTTTATTACTTGGGGACCATACGCCGCTTTTCATGGAATGGCACGGAAGTGTCACATTGAAGGTTCCATGATAACCGCCGTATGAACACATCTGCGGATGTTTCTAAATTCAAAATTTTACTATTTCACGTTTAAATGTTGAATTCTGCTTAAGCCGGTGCTAGGGGGCGTGGACGGTAACTTGCACTTTCCAGTACCGTCCATGAACAGGCTCAATCAAACCGAGCCTGCAACATTTTCATTTTGCCGTGTTGGGCTTTCTTTAGGGATTCTGTATTTAGCTATTTTATGATCACATCTGTGTTACTTGTGCCGTGTGGCGGCTGTAAAAAGTCTCCCCGTACATTTAATCAATGATGTTATATTTTCGATCCTTGAAGATCGTTCAGCACGACATTATTGTTGTGCTTGTGGTATTTTTAGTTTCAACTTTTCGGCATTTTCTAGTTGGGTGGTTCCAATATTCCTACTTGAATAATGTTGAATCACCCTAAGGATATGTTGCCTGCTTTTTAAATTTGTCTTTTGACGTCTTATCTGTGATACGCAGGCTTCATAACTTCTGATCCCCTTTCAAAATTCCATTTTATTTAGTTCCGCCCATTGTTTTCTCGTTTAGGGCACACGCTTTTTATTACTTGGGGACCATACGCCGCTTTTTATGGAATGGCACGGAAGTGTCACATTGAAGGTTCCATGATAACCGCCGTATGAACACATCTGCGGATGTTTCTAAATTCAAAATTTTACTATTTCACGTTTAAATGTTGAATTCTGCTTAAGCCGGTGCTAGGGGGCGTGGACGGTAACTTGCACTTTCCAGTACCGTCCATGAACAGGCTCAATCAAACCGAGCCTGCAACATTTTCATTTTGCCGTGTTGGGCTTTCTTTAGGGATTCTGTATTTATCTATTTTTTGACTATATTCTTGAAATACCAAAGTGGGTTGGGAAATCAGTTTTATGGTTGATGAAAATGCTTTTTTGCGCCCGTCTTAAAAAGATTTGCCTTTTCAACCTTTGAATTTCTACAAATACATAAATACATCGTACTAACCTTTTGCTGTTGTTTTTCTATGTTTTCCTTGCTAAATTTACACAAAAATGAAGAAAGGTAAAATTTGCTCCAAAAATTTCGGCTGCAGCAGGAGAAAGGAAGTTAAATTCGTAACACCTCGGATAATATCAGAGGGTGTTCTTGATCGGCACTCATGACATACGCAGAATGTTCCCCCCTGAAACACCGGCGTTTAAGACAGAGACACTTTCGCATTAAACATTTCTAAACATTCGTATTGTCTTATCCTTACTGTTATGTTTCTGTTAACTGTTATGTTTCTGTTTTATTTGTTATTAATAATCAAAATACGAGATGAGCTTATGACATAAAAGTAAACACAAACGTTTCATGTTTGCACACAGGCATGCCAATATAAACACCAACCGTTTAAACACTGCACATTACTGTTTTAGTTATAAACACCCGCTCCATAAAGAAACGCATGTGTTTTTATACTGCACACAACGAGAACACATACGTTTTGTTAACAAACACCTGTGGAACGCGTCAGGCGTTACCATTTTTTACAGTGTAAAATATGCAAAGCACTATCCTTACTATAAAATCTTTTCACCATATTTTTTTTATCTGCAATCCATATTTATAAACAAATAAACTTAGATTTTTAGTTAACACAAGAAACCTTTTGAGTGGGTTATGTATAAGATAAAATTAGGTTAAATGTTATGCCGATTAAATATTCGTGTGAGATATTCCTAACAATTTATATGATATAGACCTACATTACATTCAAGTGCCATTATGCCAGTTCAAGGGTATATAGTGAGTGAGCAGGTAAAGGTCAAAATAATTAAATATTTTGCCATAATTTCTTTCAATTTTATAATTTGCTTACCATAAATAATAAATAGCTCTTATTACCCAAAGACATTTTTTTAAATTCCTATGTTACTATATATAGTAACAAAATCTATGGTATATCAGGGCCATTATGGCAAGATCTGGGTCATTAAGCATTCGGCCGCCTTGCTACTCGGCATTATTTTCCATAATGTGCGAGTAAATGAGTGGACGTGCAGGATGACGTCATCAACTCTCAGTGACTTTCAAGATGGTTGTTGACGTTGAATGAATTGTTGTCACTTGCACACAAAATTTTAAGTTTAAATCTATCACATAATCAATTGCAATCAACAAAGCTTAACATTAAAGATTAATAAACTCAAGAAAAGAATACAATAACTATACATAAGACAAAGCATGACCCTCAGAACCTGCAAAAATTATTTCAGTTTGACAGTAAAAAAAGATCGGACCGATGGCAAATAGAGGCAAGAGCTAGACATCACTCTCGTAAACGGTTCTATTATCAATATAAACAATATAAACAACAACAAAATAACATTGTCTCATATTTATTTTGTTTTGTTATGTTTTCAAAGATAATCGGAGACAGATATTTGTTTACATTGACAACTGTCCGTTTCTTAGAAAGGGCAACAACCAAGATTAGCGGCGATGGTATTAAAGACATTAATGCTTGGTTGCTGCTCGCCAATATTATGCGTTAATGGTCCTCGAATCCATAATGTCTTTCGGGCCTGCGGCCCTCAGGCCATTATGCAAATCTTCGGGCCATCATCGCATAATGACGAGCAGCAACCAAGTATTAACCTCTAAGTAAATACCCATCAGAAGTGTTCTTTAACGTTCAATTTATAAAAAGAGAGGGCAGTTTTTTTTTATATTTAAGGCAGATTTATATTTTATACTTAACATGTTTCAATTTTAACCGATGGTGAATTACCATCATAACAGTCAATCTTTTGAAATATAAAGTCAAATCAGCCCAACTTGACAATGAAAATACGAACATAGCGTCACTTTCACTTTTCGATAATATTTTTTTTAAACTTTCACTAGACATGTGTAAATGACTGTAATTTAATAAATACAATCATTTAATATTTAGAAAATCTTCGCTCATTTTTATCTCCTCAAGAAAACAAGTATTTTTATCCTTTTTTTTCATTTAACGAACAGAAAAGATACCTTTTATAAAATGCCTTCCGCCAGACATGCATTGTGGGCTTTAAACTCTAGTACAATTAAATACTATTATAAAGATCCATTTAACTCAGACAATATATTGTGATTCTCCTAG